TATCGAAATTGTTTTAAGGTCAATATTACTACAAAATTATATAGTAATTTACATAGTAATTACATAGTAAAACAATTTCGATAACCAAATATAAACAAAAATTCGAATTAAACGCCATTCAAATCGACCGCCATTTTAGTATCGCCATGTTTGTTAAAAAAAATATCTATGGCATATTTTTTAAGTTAAAGTGTCGGGAACACGTTTTAAACACTTTCCCGAGCGATATTAACATGTTTTTATGGAGAAAACAGCGGAAGAGGAAAAAATTCGCCCTAAAAACATGCGTTTTTTTACTTTATTTTGCAAAAATTTTGCATAAATTGCGATTTCTTTTTTATTTTCTCAACGCTACTCGTTAGAGCGACATCGAAATTGGTAGGAATGGTATTCTTTATAAACAACAGACCTCATTTCCGTAGTAAAACAAACGGCTCAAATCAACGTAAAATTTCAGCACATTTGGGTGTTAATGATGGTAACCTGATTAGTAGTTCTCCACGAAAGGTCTGCATAGCCCTACCAGTCCTTAAACAATGATCAAATTTACCTCGTTTGTGCATATGCCAGGTTTCAATCACTTGACGAATACAAATTGCTTTCTTATTACGCGAAACAATATACCATATATTCTCGGAAAACTCTTAATTCTAACTAATAACACGTCACTCAAGTTTATTCACAATAGAGAAAATTAATAATGAATTTCGAGATGTTCGACGTTGTATTTGACCAAATCAGTTCTTTCTATTTTTGAACTGTAATATTGTCCTCATTTTTTAATGCAACTCAGAGAAAAGTATTTAAACTATATGCTAAAAGAAATATTTTGCAATTTCCATTGCTTCTCTCACGATGAACAAAGTACAACATACTTTTTGAGCCAACCAGACTCGGTCTTTCCTACAAGAAAAGAGAATTCGCATAGATGTGGAGAAATGGCGGACTTTTTCCTGCACGCGCGTTCAACGATTAATTGGACTTCAATGATATATATGAAGGACGAGTATAAAGAGTATGCTCTCGCGATTGCAAAGGCCATGGAATTCAATCGCTTTGATTTATATCTGAAATATGTGCGCTATGAAAAAAGATCAGTTCAAACAATTGAGTTAAACAAACTCAATTTCAGGGTGATATGTGACGAGCTAACTGCTGCAATTCTGTCAGCAAAATTACTAGCGTTTTTTTAATCTCATGTTTTTGTGTAAAACGAGCTGAAAATTTTGCTCAGTGGAACTGTTATAAAGTCGACCCGACATATTACTGGTCGTATTTATTATCTAATTTATTTCATCTTCCAACAAGAGGTATAATTTTTCTACTTATTTTTTTTTACGTAATTTATGTATAATAATAAAAAGATATTTTTTTATAAAAAAAATATCGATTATTCTATTCTCAAAATTTTATAGAAGAAAAAAACACTGGCATCCGTAAAAAATATCTGCCAGCATTATTTTCTATTTTTCTTACTCTATATTGTGAGCAACTCGCAATGATTTTAATATTGATGAATTATTTTAACTTGTAAAAAACAGTTTATAAGTTAAAGTTAATTTTAAGGTAACTAGTTTATAAGTTAAATGTCGACTTATTTAAAATTGACTAAATTAAATTAAAAGTTATTATTCATTTGTTATTCGCCATTAAAGAACTGTGATTAACGTATCTACTTAATTAATAAGTTAAACTAAATTTAATTTTCTGTGGTTTTATGTTAATTTGATTATTTTTGTGAATTATTTTTGTTTTAGTTTATTCTTAAAGTTTCATAGTTAGTATTCGTAAAGTTTCTTTTATTAATTATTCCATTAGACAACTGATTATTATAATTAATAAACGAAACAAAATCTGATATTTGTAATATTTTTAAATTCTCATTAATGTTACTTTTATGTTAGATTATCTTTTGTTAATTATTTGAGAATTTTCTTTATTTTAGCATATTTTATTTTAGCATTTTATAACATATTTTATTAGCATATTTATTAATATATTTTAGCATTCCTTTCATAAAAATTAATGATCCTCTCAATGCGATCAATTTATGAAAGGGACAAAACACTTCTTTAAAAAATAAAAAATGATGCATGTAGAACTAGTGATAAGATTATTACCACCAACGATTATTATTGACGTTTCTAAAATGATTAATAAGACTAAAATGATCCTTTAGTTTATTTACTATATTCTATCCTAAACAAAAATGTCCCTTTCATGCCATCTCTCCCCTATTGATTGCAAGTTTTAATAATTTTTCTCGTATTTTTCTTTCGTCACTCCATGTGATAAATACGAGTGCAATGTGGGGCTGAATTCTTGAAAAATATCGCCTATGATATTTCGATGAAAAGCTATAGTATACGTGACATGAACTGTACACGGAAAAAAAAAGATCTGCTATATATGGACAACTAACATAATTTAATATTAGCCACTTTTTCTTTGCTGCAGGAGCCAATTTCCTTGCTAGGATAACAAGAAAATCTGCTCCTGCAACAAAAAAAGTAGCTAAAGTAGTAAATTATGTTTAGTTGTCCATCTGTAATAACATTAGCCACTTTTCTTATTATACGTATCTACTTAATTAATAAGTTAAACTAAATTTAATTTTCTGTGGTTTTATGATAATTTGATTATTTTTATGAATTATTTTTGTTTTGGTTTATTCTTAAAGTTTCATAGTTAGTATTCGTAAACTTTCTTTTATTAATTATTCCATTAGACAACTGATTATTATACGGAGCAGATTTTCTTGTTATCATAGCAAGAAAATAGGTTCTTGCAGCAAAGAAAAAGTAGTTAATACAGCGAATTATATTTAACTATTCATATGTAGAGAATTAGTTTACTGCTGCAGCAAATTATTTTTTTCTGTGTAGCTTTTCATAGGAATATCGTATGCGATATTTTTTCGAGAATAAGAACCCTGATCAGTTATAAAGGACTGAACGTTGCTGAATTTCGTGATTTGAAATAATTAAATTTGCAGTGTAAAGTGCATGTATTTACGTATATCGGTCTCTCGGGATTAGAATGATATCAGTTATGTCTACAATCTGCTATGTTTCGACCCGTGCCGAGGCACAGTGGGGACAAATAGGAATTTACTGTTCAAAAATTGCTACAGACCACAATTTTATAGTTATCGGGATGATTTTGCTTTTTAAATTAAACGTTAATCAATGTAGAAAAAAACTATCGAGCCCGATTTTTTAAAAAATTCTACTAAATGTTGCAATATTGATAAGAATTTGTAAAAAAAATATCAAATTTTGCGAGTCACTTTTCTAATTGCAACTAATAAAATTAAAAACTCATCCTGAGTGTATCAATATTTAACATAAAGAACAATTAGAGCTCAAGCACAGGTTGATTAGTGCTATTAAAACTATTAAAAAATAGTGACCCAATCTCACAAAGAGACGAAATTTATTACTTATCAAACGCGTTTCGGTCTAATTTCATAGACCCTCCTCAGTGATTACAAATAATATTTAAGTGTCGCAAAAATAAAAAAGTCGCAATAGTCGGTATTACAATGGTCATTACAAAAAACTGTCACTACAAGTTTTTTGCCTACGGGATCCGGAAGCATCAACGTTAATTATCAATTATAAAAAAAATATTTTTTCCGGAAGATACTAGCAATTTATTCTGAGACTGGTCACTCCATCGCACGTACTAAGGTGCTGTGGTGTAATCATCTAAAAAAACGTATTCAGATAGAGTAACCAACCCAAATATGAGGAAAAATAATGATATATACCTCAATAAAAGCCAGTAGAGTTCCAGTGAGATGTTACGCCAATTTTCTAATTGCAAAACCTTTGCATCTTTTCGCTGCACAGTACAGTATACTAAGGTTCTCAGCATTGCTGACTACAAATCTGTTATAAAAATCAGAATTTGGCAGTTGACAACTGCCACTCTCCTGTCAACATAAACAAAATTATTATGTTTTAACCCTTTAAGGCGCATAATTCATGGAACATTCTAGTAACTGTTTTAATGAAATATTGTAAAAAACACTCTAAATAGCACATTTATAAGGTTTCAACTGCTCGATCCTAAGTGATCTCTATTGGTACCATTGATACTTAAAGTTTTCTGACCTACAATCGATCATTACATAAAAACGATGCAGTGAGTACTATTGTTTCTCTTATAATATATAACAGTTATAATGGTAAGTTTGTTTTTTAATAATATCACTTTTTATACGAAGTTGCATTGGAATAATATGTGCAGACATCTTCATTATTTCTGTCATAAGGTTATACATGCAAAATTGCGATGTATTCTCATAATTAATAAATTTCTCATAAACGGTGCAGACAAATCGTATGAAACTTTAATTACGAATAATGTTATTTACTCCGATAAATGTTACGTTAAATTTTATTATAATTTTATGCATAGTATATGTTAATAGGGACCACTTAGGATCTTATAAATATGCTATTTAGAGTGTTTTTTTACAATATTTTATTTAAAAAAGTTACTAGAATGTTTCATGAATTATGCGCCTTAAAGGATTAAAACATAACGATTTTATTATGTTTATATTGGCAGTTGTCAACTGCCAAATTCTGATTTTTATATCAGATTCGTAATCAGCGATGCTAAGAACCTTAGTATACTGTACTGTGCAGCGAAAAGATGGAAACTTTTCCAATTGGAAAAGTGGCTCACAAAACTTTATATTTTTTTACAAATTTTTATCAATATTGCAACATTTAAAAGAATTAAAAAAAATCGGGCTCGACAGTTTTTTTCTACATTGATTAACGTTTAATTTAAAAAAAATGCACATAAAATTGTGGTCTGTAGCGATTTTTGACTAAGTTCCTATTTGTACCACTGCGGGGGAAGGACGCTGGCGCGTAAACGATTTTGTACAAAATTTATCAATCACATCCGACGCGCCGAGGAGGATCAAAGAGAGCGGCGCATTACCGCGCCCGTTACACAGGTGGATAACTCTATCTACTTACCTCCACGAGGGTGATGAGGATGATGAAGAGAGGCGGCGGGCAGCACGTGTAGTGATCGGCGTAGTATTTTCGGTCCCGCTCTTCCGTGAGGAATTCATCGCCGATCATGCGGACCATCCTGAAAGCACAAAATCACAGTATAATCACACGGCACGTAATCGAGACATCTGTTGAATCGAGCCTACGGCACGTACGAGTAGTGAGACTGAAATGCGGTAAATGCGAGGAGGATACAAGTAAAAATTGTATTCTATAAATTCCTTAGAGATTCCACTCAACCGGTAGAGAGCGCGTGAAGAATAATATGGTTAATCGGATTAAAATTATAGCAATTTTCGACATCAGCTATATCCTTTTCTGTTTCTGTTTCATTAAAAATAATAGCAATATATATATAAAGTTATTATGGTGTTAGTAAACTTTTAAAACAATAATTTTTTCCATCAAATTATGTTATTTGACTGGACAAAATTATTGTTTTAAAAGTTTCGTTTGTTTCCTCAACCTATTGTTTGGACTAAACAATATGTTATGAACTAAACGATATATATAACAATGTTTGGTTAACCCTTCATATACACACTTATTTTTTCATCCTTCACATACACACTGAGTGGTTGCCACCTATGGCAATTTTCAAACAGCTGTATCTTTTAAAATATTTATGCTAAAACTCTAAAAAAATGTATGGATTAACTTTAATGTTTATAGAAAGTATTTACATACTTTTAGCATTAAAATTCAAGAAATTTCATATTAAAAAAATTATTATATTTCGCGATTTCAAAAAAAGTGAGTTTGCAAAAAAATTTGTAACTTTTGTAATTTTATTATTTTTAATTATTTATTATTTTTAATATTATATTAATTAATTAAATTATATTAAATAATATTATAATATTATTTTTAATTTTTTATTATTTTTAAATAAAAATTTAGCATTTTATTGTTGAAATGTTTATCTTTAAGGAAAAAATTGTCTCGTAAGTCATCTCTGGAAAAAGTATATTTACAATTTTATATATACATACATGTATATACATGTGTATATTTACACTTGGTAAATTTGATAGCTGAGCATATCAATGCAAAAATTGAAGATGTATAATAGCGCTGAATTTTAGTTATAGGTGATAACCACCCAGTATGTATACGAAGGGTTAAAAATCCAAAACCAATTTCAGCGTCATTGTTCGTTAATGTAACGTTTTGTCAATATTCATTGATGTATTAACTGTTGTTGCATGATTTTCAACTATTAATAAGTATGGCATGAAAAAGCTTGTTGGAAATCATAATTTAGTGTATATTAGAACTATTAATGAACATAATGTTACAAGTATATTGTCAGAGTATAATTGACATAACTAACTCTTATACGTTGAAGTCAAGTAATCCAAACCGTAACGTAATCAGTATGAGTAAAAAGTATGAGTGATCACATCACGGAATGATGGGAATATTTTGAAAAATCACGGAGAAAAGGTACACAAGATGTGTACATGAGATGTACATAATAAAATGATAGATGTACATAATAAAATGATAAAACAACAGATCGTCAGTAACACGAAAAAAGGAATGGCAAGTTTTTTAAAATTATCTAAACAGAATTATCGAAATGAAATTTAAATGAAATGAAAAAATTAAGTGAAACAATTTTCTTCTTTGAACCAAACAATAAGTTATTTATGCCAAACAATAAAATTACTTGAAAAACCAACATAGTATTTGTTGAAATAAAGACAATTTTTTTTTAACTATTCCAATAAATTTCTTTGAATTTAATAAAATTTATTAAATCCAAAAAAACCATTCGCTCTTTACAGGGGAGTAGATTATCAATAGAATTTATTTTGCTGAAAATCAGAAAGCTTTTTGTAAGAAACATAAATTTCTTAATAACAATTCATTATGTAAATAAAATATACTTATCCAAAGTATTGTTTACATCAAATATAAACTCAAAAAAGTTATATTACTCAAAACATCGAGAAAATCAGCTGCGCATCTATCAAATTTGAAACTCTTGGAGCCTATTTTCTTGGGAACGGTAAAGGAGAGTAAACTTTGGAACTTATATGCTTGTAATCTACTCGAATTTATCTTTGGTTTTATAACCAAATTAATTGAGAAATTAGGAGGTATCGCCTATGTCTATTTGACTGCTCTTCATTTGTGGAATATAAAGTTTATTTATGTGAAATAAAATTTCTTTCTGTGAAATATAAAATATATTTTTGTGCGTAAACTTTACACACATTCCACAAATAAACTTTCAAGTATCCTTTTCTTAGTGTAGTAGTCACCCGCGTGTGCGCTGAGAAAAAATATTTTAAAATTTATTTGTGAGATATAAAGTTCAGAAATAAACTTAATTTTGCAGAATTAAACTTTATCCCACCCTGAAATCAACTTCATATTTTCATAAATAAATTTTAAAGTACACTGTCTCAGAGAAAGAGGGAGAGAGAAAGAAAGGGGGGAGAGGGGGAGAAGGCGATGTATGAAGTAAGAATCCACTCTAGACTCGAGCGGAGATTCACTCCTCCGACTTGGCGTGGCAATATTTTTACTAACGCGTGGAGTGAATTCTCGCCCCCATTTCGAGTGAGATTTCGCGCGAAGAAATTCGAAGAGTACGTCACGTTTAATTGCAATATTATCCGGCGAATTTTCTCGCAGCGAAACGCGAAATTGCCGCTCATCTTGCCGCGCGAATTATTTCCATCGATAAATCTTGCATTTATCGGCGCACAATAATGCGCGTGTCGAAGAATGGCGGCTATTTTTATACGAATATATGGAGATCAAATTTACATGCTGTGTGCAGCCGCGAGGACCATTTCCGCCGAATGTAATAAACAATTTTCAATTAATCGGCTCGATGCGGCGGAAGGGCCTTCGCACAAACGTAATTACATATTAACCAACGAATGATGTTTGCCGGACAAACAAAGTCGACCGGGACCGAATGTGTTTTACAAGATGAAATTCATAATGGCGTTTTATTTACGCGATTCCAGCGGCGGCTACGGCGCCGTCGCCAGCGGCAGGACGCCAATAAACGCAATCGAATATTTCCAATTAAACATCGCCATAGCATTTCACCTCGAAACGGGCAACAACCGGCGCGGAAAATAGCCGGCAAAAGCTCGCGTGCGCTCGCAATCGGATCATTTTGAGGCGGACTCCGCGAAATGACTTCGTTTGCGTACGTCGGGCGTCGAAAAACAAAGGGGGGAGGGCCTCAAATTGAAAGGCAAATGAGGTCATGCTCTCCGGAGAGTAATCCGCGCGTTTACCTAAATCGCGAGGACCCACCATTTTCCGCGTGTACCCCGAATTATATTCGCTCTCCCCAAAATGGGTTTTTAATTGAACGCGAACGATACTCGCCGGCGGAGGTAGTGGCGGCGGTGGCGCGTTTGATTTGTGCCGCGCGAAACGCAAGTAATCAGAACGAAAAATCCGCTCTCGACGCGGCCCGCCATTGTCTCGCGATGCCGATAACGAGATGATTCGCGAGGGCGGACGGCTCGACGGATAAATTCAAGACTACCGGCTGCCGAAAAGTGATTTGTTTGCGCGCGCAGAACGTAGAACGCTCTCGTTAATTCGGATCTTCGATCGCGAATAGCCCGGCACAATGGCGCGGATCGAACAATAAAGTCACGTTACCGTCGGCTCGAAAAGCATCTTCTCGCTGATACAACAACGGGCGCAGATCGTCGCGCCATTGTTGCCGCGGATGTTGCGTCGCGATCCCCGTTGAGCAACGAGCACGCGCGGAAGTTTGGGCGCGCGTGTAATTCGGCAAACAAGCCGCGCTCGAGTAATTGGAAAAGAGGTGGGAAGGAGCGATAAAATTTGTCCGAATTGGAAAAAGCGAGAGGGGGAAGGGGGACGGACGAGGCGGGAGGGGGTGGAGAAACTCTCGCGTCGCACATTCACAGCGCGCCGGAGAACTGATAACACGATTGTGTTTAATTAATGAGAATGTAAGTGAACGGAGTTCGAAATTTACGAGGCTCCGTCCGTGAGACGGGGCACGCGAAAAGCATAAGCGCAAAGAAGTTAATGAGTTCAGAAGCGGACGAACATCGCGAAGATAAAGGAGTGTAATTGTGTTTCTTGAGAGGCGTGCAGGGGGAGGGAGAATTTGCAAACTGAAAGTAATGCGGGTGGAACGAGGTGGAGAGATGCGCGCCGGGATTTGTTTCGGCAAGGAGATTATTTTCCGTCAGAGTCCATCTACCATTACATGAATAGATAACATTATTTTCCGCCGGGGTCGGTCCGTATATAACACGGCTAGATAAAATAGTTCAGAGTTCATCTACTGTTACGTACGCCAAGGGAAATATGTGAAAAATAAGAGGTAGTTATTCGGTACTGATAACATATTTGCATGAGTATAAGGGGATGATGGAGTTGATAATGAACTCAAACAATGTCGATAATGAGACGATCGTCACTAACATAATCACGCTATCCTTTTTGTATTTCTTGCATAAACAGAACTTACATAAATGTGTGTTGCTTTGTTTTACCATATTTAGCGGAAAACCTAACCATATACGTGTAAAAATCTTTCTGCAGACTTTTTCGATATTCTTAAACTTCTAAATGCAGAGGCGAAAGTAGAGCAATGTTCTTCAAAATTTTCCATTTGGAGCATCCACACTTTCGGTATGTAGAAGCTGCGAAACTTTTGGATTAGGCAAATATTTTACGCTAACTGACAGCTTGAGATTTTACACTAAAAATTTTTTGCCCGTTTTCGTTACATATCGAGCAATGCTCCTATTTATTTTTGCACGTACGTTCATTGCGTAAAAGCATTTGTAATTCTGTGTAACCAATACGAGGTAAACTTTGCAGAAAAACGTCAGTATTCTGTCGGTAAAGTTTTCAGCTTCCCCTTAAATTCCTTATTTAAGTAGAAGAAAGAATTGTTTCTTTACGAAAAGTTAGGATTTTAAGAAAAAAAATATATTTTGAGAAAAGAATTTTTCTCAGTGTAAAAATAAGGGTGAAGGTGGAATATGAAAGCCGCTTTTTCTCAAACAACTACGGCAATTTGTCGGTAACTGAAACAAATATAACTATTAGAGT